AGAGACGTCAGATCTACAGAATTTTTCTTAAGTCTAACAAGATTGTAAGATAGTTTTTGGAAGGTTGAGAGGAGTGAAGGGAGGTGAATCGCCTCATCTTTGACCTTCCTGACTCTAACGAAGGCGATAAGGCTGAAACGTAATCCGAATAAAGGTAACCTAAGACATTGATTGCGGCTCAACCAATCAAACCAAAAGTAAGGGACACTATGTTTTGAATCCCTATTTTTCTTGCAACCGAATTTTGGGACACCTTATTAAAAAAATTCCTTATCGTTTTCCCACCATTTGGAGCTGACATGCGACGTTTATTCAGGTTTTTAATCTGCACCCGAAGAGCTCAAATGACTTCGATCCGTATGAACTCTCAGCGTGAACTACTAGTTTACAATGTTTTTTTTTTTCCAAAATTATGCTGACATGTTTTTATTGGAGATGGCGGCTGAATTTCTGGGTATGAAGCATTCACCAACACTCTCGTGGGTTCATTACCACCTCGATGATTTTGAGAAAATTAAAGACCCCGAGCTGTTCCCCGTGACAGAGGCAGCCGTGCATAGTGGAAAAACCTGTTGCGCTGCCACAACAGAGGGTTACCATGATATGACAAAAAGGAGCAGTAAAGAAGAAGAACCTGAGAGTTCAGAGTTTCATTCCTATTCTCTCACAGTACAGTATCAAGGTATTTTGTAGGACTGAGGTCTTCTCCTGCATGAACTCGACCCGCCATTCAGGACCACATTCTACACTACTGCAGACATGTACAAAAGTCAAAAGTGTTCGCCGAAACGATTTTTAGTGCATTATTTTTTCTCGCTTGAGCAACGCCCTCCAAAGATTGATATACTATGTTTCTAGTGTTTTTATATCCTCAAGTCTTAAAGAATCAGGATATTCAAAAGAAAAAATTTTCGAGGCCACCATTGATTTTTTCTGGCAAAAAAAGAGAAGCACGAAAACCGTTTCGGCGAACACTTTTGACCGCTACTGTATGTCAGGAGTGTGGAATTTCTGTGGCTGGAGCTACACCCGAAGAGAAGTCATAACCATACAACTTCTACTATATGTTTCAAAAGGTGACTTGCAAATCGACGTGGTTGTTCTCTGGGCGCCCTTTTCCCTCATTTCGACGCTCATCCCACTTTGCTCAAGTGTTTTTCCTTGGTGCGACGGAGCGTACCTAATATTTATTGGACTTATGCAAATCAACTCATTAACTACAGTGCTGCACGTATGGAAATGGTGCAATCCATCACAAGTCACTAGTGAAAATGTTTGCTGGAAACTCCCAATTCAGGGAGGGCACTCAGGTTCTCCCATAGACATTCAGACCAAGTTATACCGATAGAGCTTCAAACCTTTGATCACAATTATGGGAACTGAAACTGCAAACGGGTACCCGACAGGAGGCCCGTCGTAGAAGGCAGAGTCGTGGAACGAGTCGCAGCGCATTATGTAAGGCGATGTAAGGCAGCAATGATACATTTTATTTACTGGGCGCAAAATCACTTCAGTACGCGCTGCGACTCGTCCGCTGACCCCGCCTTGTTGCCGCGCGACGGGCCTCTTGTCGGATACCCGCGTCCGGGCCATTCAGAGTCGCCGCGGATCAGGGGTAGTGCTGTCGAAATTTCGCTCTCGCAAGGGAAGAGAGCTCCACGTCCTACCGCTGGAGAGAAAGCTTACCACTAATCCACGGCGACTCTGAAGCACGGAGGCTAGCACGGGCATATGTACGCTTTACTTCCAGCCAACTTTGGCTGCTCACAACTTCCTTGACAACTTCATTTTGCAATTTTCTTTTCCATATTTGCAATCATCCCTTGGAGCTCTATCGAAATATCAGGGTCCTAATTCAAAGTTTCATGGAAATGCCTTCCCTGGTAAGTGAGTTGATACAAGACTAATACCTAGACTTCTTAAGGGCTGAGCTGAATATCTCACCCCGATGAATCAATTGGTAGAGTGTGGGCAGAGGGCTTTGATTGACGGCAACGAACATCGGTTTGGTTGGTTGATTAATGGTGAACATTATAAAGAAGACCTCACCTGGAAAGCCACTGTGTGCATCATTTTCACAACTCGACACAAAAGATCTCCTCCTCGCCAGTCGTAGGTGAGCAACCAGCATGCTCTCGACGGCACGTAAATGAAGATAACCAGCAAGTCCGAGTAATTCAGGTGCCGCTTCAGCAGATCTAACCGGCTCGTCATAGGCCTTTCGGCCAGCTGAAAAACGTGAGGGTGACTGCGATGTCCCGTTGGAGACTACATATTTGTCTGACTATAGACGTCTGGCGCCATCTCGGCAAGCTTTTTGTTTAATATTTTTAATCGTCATTATTTTTTCAATAATTCCAACACTGGTATTGTGCATTGATTTTAGAGTTTAGGATATTTGCATCCAAATAGTTTTGAATATGAAAATGCAAATGGATAAAATAAAACGGGCCTGTTTGTGTGAAAATCCTGCCACGCGCGCATGCGCGTCCCATGTCACTTCTTCAACTGTGCTTAAAAGAGGGGACTGGAATAGCTAGAGGGACTGGATAAGGCTAGATCACCAATGACAATGCCGTGCCTAGAGTTGTCAGTAGTATAATTTTTGTTTCAAATATACCAAGGACCACCAACAGGGTGAACCGGCTGAGTTTCGCTGAGATACCCTTCTTGGTGACCTTAAAAGGTCGAAGTGACCCATAGTTCGCTCAACCAACTATCATAGATTTGTTCGTCTTGTCAAGATCTTAGGACTGCCACTTTGTCACATCCGTGTTGCAGATATTTTCACAAAGTAGGCAAGTCGTGGACAAAACGTCCGCAGGACAACACGGCACTTTTTCCGATGTTTGCTCTTTCGATACAGACGCCGTCATGATCTCATGAGCTTTTCTTGGCCTTCCAAAAAATAAAATAAGAAGGCGCTATGGCAAGATACCGGGGCATTACTGTGGCAATCCATTTAAAATCACGTAAAACATCTCCTTTCCTTGAAAACGGTACTAAGCCTTTGGCAGGGAAAAACAGATTTCAGAATGCGTGAGCATTTCTCATCTTCTCCGAAGTTCCTGCGCTCTCTTAGGCTTAGACGGGGAGATGCCCCCGTATCTTGCGATAGCGCCAGTAAAAATTGTGAATATTCCAGGATAGATAGAATGGTCATACTTGAGGTTAGTTATAGGCCATTTCTTCCGAGGATTCTTAAAAAGGCGAGACTTTCACGACGGGAATCGAGACAATCGCTTCAGGATGGTAAAGAGATCTGAAAAAGCCGCAGGCCCCGAACATCGAATGGAGAAGAAAATAGATTGAATGAGGGTTCCAAGGGAACAATGAACGCTGAGGCCTCGGCATGAGGTTGATCCCTTGCCTAGGTAAGATTCGTTTTGTTACTGATCACCTAACGTTTGTCAACTAAGTTAGACGAGAGCAGCCAGGTGCACAACACCAGTCCCTTCTAGAGTTAGAAAGAGGGAACGGGAGGGCAGTAGGCACAATACTGTCACGAACAACGGCGCTAAGGCCTTGCCTTGTGTGCTGCCGTGCTGCCATCCTTATCAACCACGGCATACGTGGTCTCTGCGCCCTCTCGCGTACGACGTACTATCTCGCGTTCTCCCTCTCCTCGCAGCGCTGTGTCTCTCCGTCGTACTACGGCCGGCCTCCTAAGGGAAATTTAGTGTTTTCTATGGTGCTTTTTGCTTTTTCTCCTCACTAATGTTCCTCATTGCCTAATGTTTGAACAAAATAACGCATCAATTCAATCCCGACTCGT